GTCAGAACCGCTACAACCAACTGGCCCACCTACAAAAGACACTACAGATATGTTAGTATGTGATCTTTTTATGCCTAACACAAATGAGTGGGATGTGGAAAAGATTAGAAGTATCCTGCCAGACCATGAGAATACAATCCTCAGTATACAACCAAGCTTGATGGGATCAGAGGATAGCTACGTCTGGCTTGGTACTTCCACATGAGCATATCAAGCTAAATCAGGATATCATGCGGCAAAAGCTATGCCATCTACATCAACTACAATGCATCCTATCGAACACATAAATTGGAATGCCTTGGTCTGGAGTACTGCTACCTCGCCAAAGATTAAACTCTTTCTCTGGAAAATCCTGAGAGGGGCACTGCCTCTTGGAGAACAATTAGCATCACGGGGAATCAGGAGCCAAGCCCTATGCACTCGATGTGGAGAACCGGAATCAGTTGTACATCTCCTCTTCAAGTGCCCTTATGCGCAACAAGTATGGAACCTTGCTCCACTAAAAGATCCGATTAATCTCTAATCCATTACGGATGTGGAAACGGGACTCAAAATCTCAAAGCTGCTCATATGTCTCCCTCCTATCGGCATCGCAATAGGAAACCTTCTTCCTTGGATCTGTTGGAACCTATGGATCTCAAGAAACAATCAGATTTTCAGCAATCGAATTTTCAGTGCAGAGGACACAATCCATAAAGCAATCTGTGATGCGAAAGATAGGCTCACCGCACAAGATCCGGATCTCCGACACGAGCCACAAATCCCAAGCCCAGATCGGATACAACAGCCTCAAATCCCAGATCAACGCATCCTCCGCTGCTTCACTGATGCAGCCTGGGAAAAGGACTCGAGGAGAGCCGGATTAAGCTGGATCTTCAAGGATAACACCGACCAAATCGTTTGCCCTGGTTCGATTGCAAAGACAAATGTCTCTTCTCCCCTAATGGCCGAAGCACTAGCCATACAAGAAGCTCTCCTTCAAGTGGCATCAAAGGATCTACACTCCTTTCGCCTCCTATCCGATTCACAAGTTATGATCAATCTGATCAAAGACAAGAATAAAAATTTAGTGATTTTCAGTGTTCTTAAGGACATATCGCATCTTTCTCTTATCATCAAAATAGTGTCCTTTGAGCATGTTCAAATAACACAAAACTTTGAGGCTGATGGTTTGGCTAAATCATGCCTAAATTGTGTATCGGTTTACCCGGGTTAGTCCGGTTCTAATGCAATGTTATTTTGACCCAAAAAAAAGAGAAGATAAATCGTTTTGGATTTCCTCAAATTTAACAAAAGAGGATTTAGCATGGGAAAGATTTTGATTTTCTATCGTCGATAAAATTTCCAGTCTATATTATATTATGACTTCCAAATCAGTTTCACAAATTATACTTTGCATGTTAATATGCAAGTAGAATCTGATGATAAATCACAAATTAAACATGGGAAAAACTTCAGAGCTTGTCCATCGCAGTAGTTTCTTTAAACTATCAAACTGCAGCGAGATATTTGGAATATTTCCAAATATCATTATTATCTATTTAGTTATTTAGATCTATATTTTAATGAATATCTTTTAGAATATTCTGGAATGTTCCAAAGATTTTTAGCGTTCATGTTTTATTATAAATAGCCTTCTTAGACCTCTTATTGTATTCAGTTATTGATAAATTATTAATCGAAAGATTTAAAGAGGTTTTGATAAACCACTGTGAAGAGTATTCACAACCCTAAGAGCTTTTACGAAAGCCTTGAGAGGAGGACTCACAAACCCTAGTTTTCGGGTATTCTCAGAATCAACGAATCTAGTTCTATCCCTAGAAGCTTCCGCTCCATCAGTTGGTATCAGAGACAGTCCCTTTGATTTCTCAATCGAAGACCGATTCTGGTGATCATGGTGAGTCCAAGCGTCTACCCTATCCAGGACGAAAGCCCATTCGTTGAAAGAGAAGAAAACCATCAGATCTACAGGGAGATCTACAGTGATCCTATCTTCGACATATATGAAGACGATGTTCAGGTTGTTGACTTCGCCTTCAAAACTGGATCTTTTGAAGATCAGATTTGTGCAAAATCCGTTCGTGCAGAAGCCGGGCGACTTCAAGGTCCTATGAAATTCGAGCAGAATTGGAGCAGAATTCGAGCAGATTTGTGCAAAATCCGTTCGTGCAGAAGCCGAGCAGACTTCGTGTTTTGTGCAGAATTGGGGCGAAACTCGGATCGGACAAAATCTGGGCGATTGCAGATCTGCAAAAATTTCAGAGAGTTACAGGTCTATGCAGATTCGGTTCATGCATATCTGGTTCGTGAAAATTTCGTGCAATTTCCGGTTTATGCAGAAACAACAAAACCGATGTGGAAAAACCGGATGAAGATTCGAGGACGAATCTTTCTAGGCCGAGGGGAGCTGATGCAGAGCATATACAAGATTCGAGGACGAATCTTTTCTTGGCCGGCGAGACCTGATGCAGCGAGATATTTGGAATATTTCCAAATAACATTATTATCTATTTAATTATTTAGATTTATATTTTAATGAATATCTTTTAGAATATTCTGGAATGTTCCAGAGATTTCTAGGGTTTTATGTTTTATTATAAATAGCCTTCTTAGGCCTCCTATTGTATTCAGTTATTGATGAATTATTAATCGAAAGATTTAAAGAGGTTTTGATAAACCACTGTGAAGAATATTCACAACCCTAAGAGCTTTTGCGAAAACCCTGAGAAGAAGACTCTCAAACCCTAGTTTTCGGGTATTTTCAGAATCAACGGATCTGGTTCTATCCCTAGAAGCTTCCGCTCCATCAGTTGGCCACTTTACCAAAGATCATAATATTTTTATGGAGGGTGCGGGAGCTATGTCAGATTACAAACAAGAGGTTTAGGTACAAACTTAATCTGCAAACTTTGCAACCAAGGCCAATAGACAATCTTTCATGTTTTGTTCACCAATTCCGCGGCCAAAGATATGCTAGAATTAGCTCATGTCCCAGCTCCAAGTGGAGGGTTATCAGATTTGTTGGAGGAGAACTTTGAGTATATTCTGGATCTTTCCTGAACCATTCCTCAAGATGTAAGAACTTCTATTTCTTGGATATTGTGGTACATCTGGAAAAAATAGAAATGTCATTCTTTATTATGGATATCAAGTATTGGAATATGTAGTAAAAAGAGCAAAAGAGAAATCAAATCAGTGGAAACTGTTGAACAATGCTCCGGAAGTTACGATCTCATCTAGCCTGATGAAGAAACATATTTCGGATAGATGGCAATCTCCTACCAGGGGAGTTATCAAATATTTGTAATCTCAATGCGAATTGTAAAAATCCAGTTCTTCATAGTGGTACGGCTTGGGATGCGAGAGGTCAATCAAGTGCGGTTCTTTACCATGCTAGAGATGCAATTGTTGGAGCTACAAATTAGATTGTTGCTGAGCTCAGGTGCCTTGTATGGGCGATGCAAAACTTTAGTGATCTTCATGTCAAAGATGCATCTTTTGCCTTTGATTGTAAGAGCATAATTATAGGTAATAAATATGTTGGGATAATATATGAATTTTATAATATTAATTATATTGAGATTAATATTAGAACCCCAACTTATTTGGTTGTTGTTTTTTATGATTATAGGTAGTAAATATAGAGGGATTTTAAAAAAAAAAATTATGAAATTGTGTTTTTTGAAAGTACAGTTTATTTTCTTAAAATTGAC